GTTATTTGTGGGTTTAACTTAGTGATAGAAGCCAGAGTGTAGCAGCAGCATGTATAGGATCTGTTCGCCATTTGAGGTGAGTCTTCTCACTATACTTATCTGTGTTGTAATTTATGTGTGATTGTAGGGTCTTATTCTTGTTGATGAACAGAGGGTCTTATTTGCACTATTGACCGGAGGGTCTTAGTATATTATTAACCAGAGGGCCTCAGTACATATAGACCGGAGGGTCTTAGTACACTATCGACAGGAGGGTCTTATTTGTTTATTATGTGTTATGTGTTATGGTGTATACTGTCTTTGTGACTTATGTTGTTATGGTAATATGTGTATATATTAATCTTATGTGTTTATTTGAGTACTGCGATGTCCTGCATTATGTCCATGTGAATTATGTTGTGTATTTATTATGAGCTTATAGAGTTAGGACCAGAGGGTCCATTAGAGTTGTGGGACTGGAGGGTCCCACTGAGACACATTGATCGGAGGGTCTTACAGAGTTATAACCTCGAGTGGCTAATGTGTATTTGTGGTATTTTGGGGAACTCACTAAGCTTTGTGCTTACTGTGTTATGTGTTATGTGTTATGTGTTATGTGTTTCAGGTACTTCTCATGATCACGGGAAGGCGTCGGCTTGATTGTGCACACGAGATAAAGATATATATTTCTTAGGATCCTGGATTATTAATTAAACAATTATGGAACTGTGTTTTGTTAAATTGATAATTGAGATTTTTGTGAACTGCATTATGAGAATTTTTGTAATTTAGAAATGAAAATTTTGTTGGAAAATTTACGGTGTTACATGAAAGAGCAATCTTACGGAATCAAGACAAACTGATTAGCATGGAATATGATAGGGATATAATATTTGATCCCGTGGGAGAGCCGAACAACATGTTTTCACGATAAGTTGGAAAAACAATGTGGCAAATGGTCCCTTTTGATAAATGGACTTGGAAAAAAGTTTCCTCTGCAATAAAGGACACCGTATTACAACATTTAGGGGTAATTATATATTTAAAATATTTTATATGGTTAACTATAATTGGGTTTTACTTCGTTAACTTTTTTCTTTGTAGATAAAGTTTGATTTGGATCAAATGTACCAGGATGTACAAGCTAATATGTTGACAGAGAGTTTTCAAGCAGCTTTGCTAAAAGGTTATCGAGAACATAAAGCTGACACAAAAGAATATTTTATGTTAGTCGTAGGGTAAGAAGATATCTCGAGAACATTAGCCAACCCTCTAGAGGGTATGGAAGTTGCTAACTGGAAGAAAGCAGTACAGTATTTCCAAACAGGCAAACACAAAATTGCTTCAGAAATGAACAAAAAAGTGTGTGAAAAGCAAACAAATGTGAATCGTGGGGGGTTGAGCTCATATAGCAGTACTTGCTATAAGAAGGTAACGTACAATACATGTAATTGTTTATTTAAAATATAATCTTATTTTTAAAGATAAACAAAACCTTAAGAGGGTGGAAACGTTTCGCAAAGCTCATACCGATAGGGATGGTGTATTTGTTATTGTTGAGGCAGAACAACAATATGTAAGTATTTAATTATAATTTTATCATATAATTAAATATTTATTTATACTTAATTGTTACTCACTTTTGGGACTTACAGAATCAGTTAGTCAAAGAGCTCTTAGCACAAACCCAATGTGCAAGTGAGTTAACACCCGCTCAAGAAAGAGTTGTTTTTGAGAAAGTATTAAGAGAGCGACGTGACCATATCAGAGGCATCGACCGTAAACCTTCTGGTCTCCCGCTGATTCCATAGCCATCGCAACCATAACCACAACCATCACAGGTAAAACAATCTACTTTGGTTTTTTGTGGTGATTATTTGCAAAAAGTTTTGGTTATTAGGATTTTGTCCCAAATACAAGAAATAACAATGTAGTTTAGTTTTTTGTCTTAGTTTAAAAATAGCAATCTACTTTTGCATCATAAAATACCTGTTAATTTGGTAATTTTGGTTTTGTGGTGATAATTTGCTAAAAGCATTGATAAATGAGTTTTTGTCCCAAGTGCAAGAAATAACAATGTACCTTGGTTTTTTGTCTTAGTTTAAAAATAACAGTCTACTTTGGCATCAGAAAATGCATGTTGATTTGGTAATTTTGGTTTTGTGGTGATTATTTGCTAAAAACTTTGGTAATTAGATTTTTGTCCCAAGTGAAAAAAATAACAATGTACTTTGGTTTTTTGTCTTAGTTTAAAAATAGCAATCTACTTTAGCATCATAAAATGCATGCTGATTTGGTAATTTTGTTTTGTGGTGATTATTTGGTAAAGCTTTGGTAATTAGGATTTTGTCCCAAGTGCAAGAAATAGCAACGTAGTTTAGTTGTTTTGTCTTAGTTTAAAAATAGCAATCTACTTTTGCATCATAAAATACATGTTAATTTGGTAATTTTGGTTTTATGGTGATTATTCGCTAAAAGCATTGATAAATGTGTTTCTGTCCCTAGTGCAAGAAATACCAATGTACTTTGGTTTTTTGTCTTATTTTAAAAATAGCAATCTACTTTAGCATCATAAAATGCATGTTGATTTGGTAATTTTGCTTCATGACAATTATTTGCTAAAAACTTTGATAATTGGGTTTTTATCACAAGTGTAAGAAATAACAATGTACTTTGGCTTTTTGTCTTAATTTTTAAATAGCATTGTACTTTGATAGTTTTTGTTTATGAATGATAATTTAACTTATAAGTTTATATATGTTGTTATTAATTATGTATTTGGAAAACCTTCGTGCAATGTTCAACGATCCGGCATGTAGTGATGAGCTTTATTCGTTTTTTCAATCCCAAAATAATCGAGAAAACGATGGAAATGAAGATGATGGTATGTAGATATGAGTTTTATTTGCATATTACACTTGTTGTCACGCTTTGCTACTTGTTAGATTGTAAAAAAAAAATTATTGTTTTCTGTAATTACCGGCAACATTATTACTTTTTATATTTAATCGGATGTTATGTAATTACCGAACAACACTATTACCTGCGACATTATTATCTTTATATTTAATCGGATGTGCGTGTAATTACCAACGACACTATTACTTTTGATATTTAATCGGATGTTTGTTTTTTAATTAGCGGCGACAATATTATTTTTGATATTTAATCCAATGTTGTTATCTAATTACCAGCAACATTATTACCGGCAACCAAAATCGTTGAATAAAAAAAAAAATTAAAATTCTTATTACCGGCGACGCTATTACCGGCGGCATTATCATTACCGGCAACACCATCATTACCGGCGACGGCAGTCTTTACTAGCGACAAGCTCATTAACGGCGACAATTTGATCAATAGCGACGATTTATTATCGGCGACGTGTCTTTACTATTACTATTACCGGCGATAATTCGACCTTTTACTGGCGACTTTTGTCGCGTCTAATTATTTTTTTCCTTGTAGTGATTCCAAATTACGTTCTGTAAGTTTGAATTTTTTATGCAGCAAGGATACTCAACTAATTGTGTTAAATGTTTTGTAGGCCTGCAATGCTCATGGGCTTCATTGTGTCGCATTATATGACACTTTAGGTAAATACATGACAGATCCTTTAAATAAACTGATTAGATATTAGGCAACATTTTTTCCAGTGTTGGTGTAGTGAAATCCATCATATGTCATGTAGAAATCCCAATTATATTTGCAGAAGCAACTAAAATTTATGAGGTAAGCTGTAAAAATATATCAATGTCAACTAATTCTTCATAGTCTTCAACAAAAATTATGATGCTTAATTGTTATATACTATTTTGTGACACTGGTACAAAAGTTCTCAATATTTATAGGTATTAAAGACTTTTCGTGATACCGAATTACGAAGAAGTACTTGAAAAAGTAAGTTTTATTTAGAGTAAATTACACGAATGGTCCTTATGGTTTAGGGTAATTTATGCGTTTGGTCCCTAACTTATTTTTTTAACTTGGAAGGTCCCTACTGTTTGTTTTTGTTACGCGCTTGGTCCCTATCTTACCTAAAAAGACTATTTTGCCCTTGATTTTTTTAAATAAACACACCCCCAACTCCACCTCTCACCTTACCTTACCTACCCCACCATTTTTTCATATTTAAATAATGGTCGTTTTAGGTAAGACAGGGACCAAACGCATAACAAAAACAAACATTAGGGACCAAGCGTGTAACAAAAACAAACAATAGGGACCTTCCGAGTTAAAAAAATAAGTTAGGGACCAAACGCGCAAAGTACCCCAAACCATAGGGATCATTCGTGTAATTTACTCTTTTATTTATCTACTTTTCTCATAATAAATATATGTCCCTCTCGTAAGTTAATGTCTTATCTTAATTTAAAGTCATTGTTAGCTTTAACACAATCACAAACTAGCAGATTTTACATGCTGAAAATGTGGTTTGTAAATTTATTCTTGCACTACTAGAACATGGGTTTTAGAGACGGAAGTATTCGTCGCTATTCCGTCGCTAAATGCTGTTTGCGATGGATCAGTGACGGACTCACTCCATAGGTAATTAATAAGTGGCTAATTTATAAGCGAAGGTTTTAGCGACGGAGAGGTTTTTCCTTGCGACAAATGTAGCGACAGAATATCCGTCGCTAAATGTCACTCAACACATTTACTCAGGGCATTAGCGACAAAATTTGATAAAGTCATTCTGTCGCAAAATTTCAGTGATCAGTTTTTTTCCGTAGCAAATCCCTTGCAAAATTCATATACTGATTTCTTTTTTTTTTTTTTTTGTCACTAATCTGTCGCAAATTTTAGACATGGTTTTTTTCCATAGCTAATCCCTTGCAAAATTTATACATTAATTTTTGTTGTTCCGTCACTGATCCGTCGCAAACTTTAGACATGATATTTTTCCGTAGCTAATCCCTCGCAAAATTGATGCATTAAAATACTTTTTTTTATTCTCACCAATCTGACGCGAACTTGTAATATCATTTTTTTTTTATTATGATTCTAAAAGAAAAAAATATTACAATCATCAAATTTTTATACTAAAAAACATTAAATAACAATGCAACCAAACATTACAATACCAAAACTATCCAAGTTTACCAAAGTATCATTCAAAAAACATCCAAAACCAAAACTATCCATATAACATCAAACTCCCAAAGGTTTAACTTCAAAATAACATTTTAACACCAAGAAATCCAAAGTATGCAACGGGAAACGAGTTTTCACAAAACATAATTTCAAAATAACATTTTAGATGCTCTCTTCATTTCATGTCCATCCAATCATCTTCGGTTCACATTCCTATAAAACATTATTCAAAACAATCAAAAGTATCAAATACAAAAGGTTAACAAGTCATTTAAAAACATCAAATATTAATGGTTAACATCATATTACCTCTAATTTTCAATTTCTCATCATATTTTGCAAGGCTGCATACATCTTCTCCATTGCTTCATATTTTGCATCAATTTGTTGTTGTTTGACATCTATTGTTGCAGCTTTCGCATCCATTTCCTCACGCATTTATTGATGTTTAGCTTCCATTTCTGCAGCTTTAGCATCCATTTCCCCACGCATCTCGTTTCGTACACGTTCATAGACAACCTAAAGTACAATGCCATGATAGGAAACTTTGTAAGTACAATGCCATGATAGGAAACTTTGTAAGTACAATACCATGATAGGAAACTTTGTAAGTACAATGCCATGATAGTAAACTTTGTAAGTACAATGATATGATAGGAAATTTTTATAAAGTACCTCTTGGGATGTTATTGTACTAGATGTTCCTTCCAAAAAGCTCGTTGGATCAGACACAGATCCGAATCCATATATTCTTCCTTTATTGACTCCTCCGGAAACATCACACCATGTTTCATTATCCAAGAGGAGGTGGTAACTAGTATCATCACCAAACTTAGCCACCATAGCACTTTCATAAGCCTCCTATTATAGCAAAAAAATATGAAGCAACAAAATCATGAAATAAGGAATAGAATGGTTCATTCCATTCCATTAAATTCATAATTAAGGAATGGAATGAACCACTTCATAAGCCTCATATTAATTAATACTCAAACCTTTTATAACATTGATTACTACTTACAAAATACTTAATTACAACTAGGCAGAGGATAAAACATTTAGAGATAATAATTTGTTTCTTTTCTTTTGTAAGTTGATTACTACTCATGAAAGATTTGTTTTCTGTCAATTTGTTGCTCTAACAAAGTCATTAACCCGAGTAGTAGGAAGTTTTGTTTCCTAAAAAAGAATTGAAAATACCTTAACTTTAGCTGCCTTTGGTGTAATGTACTCTTGAGTAGACCGTTTAGTGTCCAACCTTGCATAAAGTTCAACTCCTGTAGGAGGGCGTTTAAGTGTTGCTTGCTACAAAATCCATTAGTAATACATTAAAAAACAAAACAAAAACTCAACAGTCTAAGTGGAAACTAAGGTGAGATGCAAACAACTTACCATTCTTTTCTTAGGTTGACAAATAGATATAGAACCCCCTGTATGTTTGGAAACAGAGCCATCTTCTAATTTATTTATGTTATTTTTCCCTGATTGTGATAAATGTTTCCATTTGGATATGGTCCACACTTCATTGATCATTTTTTCCCAATACTCCTTTTTTATCCAATTTGGGTGATAGTCCTTTAGCAAATTTAAATCACCTTCTAGTGAGGCATTCACATTTGCAGCTTTGGCAAGTTTTAAAGATTCTTCACGTGCTCTTCGCATTATGTCAGGAAATCATTTCTTCATACAGTCTTCCCATACATTGCGAGCAAGAACATCAGTCGCTTACGGCCAAACATACAAAACCTACATGTAGATCACGCATACAGTTATCTTTTCCATTTTACACCAAGTTTTACTTTGATAAATCATAAAAATAATAAGTACAAACCTTGAAGTGTTCCCACATTGCATCATGATGTTCTTTGTCAATCTTCTTCCATGAGGTCCATGGGCCGTCAAACATCGTCTTCAGTATACATGCGATGGCTCTGATCAATGAAATCTGATCTGTAAATCTTGCAATAAATAAATAATTAAAAAATTAGCATTAGTATTATCATTAACAAGTAAATTCATTTTCATAAACAATTGTAAAAGTAACATTAGTACTCCTTTTCAGAATCAAATTCAATAAACTTCCTTTTTGGTGGGTTACTTGGAACTTGTTCCAAGATGTTTGATCCTCTAACTGAAGAAGAAGAAGGTTGACTTTCTGCATTATTGTGTGATTGAGATGCATTTCTATCTCCAGCATCACGACCACCAATCTGACAACCACAATGACCACCACCACGGGCTCCTCGTGGCGCCATTAGTTAAAAAATAACCCTTAAAATCAAGAATTAATAAACTATTGGTTAGAACAAGTATGTATTATAATAGAAAATTTTAGAAGTAAGAGAAGGTAACATGCTATAATACACAAATACATGAAAGTTTAATGTATATAGAAAAAGAAAACGATCACACCCCCAAAACCGATGAACGGCGGAAACATTCTGGGGTGGAGGACGTCATGTACAGTATCACAACAATGTAAAGTAGTAAACAAGCAACAACATCATCCATTGCATTAATAGTATAACATTTCATACAAGTATGTTCTGTCAAGTTATATAGACACGAAAAATATACATCAAAAATAAAAGAGGAGTCTTGAAAACGCTCCTTCTTCTCAAATCCGGCGCCTGTACCTGTCTACTGGTGACCTGAGAATACAAGTTATTTTGAATACAAGTTATCAGCTTTAGAGCCGGTGAGTTCATAAGTATATTAGTGTCTGAGTTTGTATGAAAGCCTTTGCAAGGTGTTTTGTAAGATGTATTGTGTATGTTTGTAAAGGTTTTGTGTTTGTTTGATCTACTCTAGAAAACCCTATGTTTCCTACTAAAAGTAGCCTTCTACCAAGGCATCTAGTGTCTGTGTGTGTGTCTCTTGTAAAAGTGTGTACTTTCCCAATCCCGACTATCATTAACCAAAAATATAGTTTCTACATTACCGTGCATCGTGTGAATATCACAAAGTAAAATGTAAAGGGAAAATGTTTTAGTACTGTAACGTAGTTTTAAGTAACTACTACTAAACTAATTACCTTAAGCCAATTATATATTTTAAGGTAAAATGTGATCGGCTTGTATCTTGCTACCGACTCAATAATGAAATGACAATGTAAGATGCCACAAAAATCACGTTTGGCACCCATAGACTTGCAAGTCCCACTGTAGCGAGCAACAAGGTGTAGGATAGTCAATCCAGTATAGATCTATACACAAACTCATACGCTCCCCAATTAAGGAGATTCTGATACAAAAACAGTCATGGCAGCTCGGCCCGGAACAATGCAGCAAACTCATCATGCAGGCTCTCACGAATCCTCGCATCCAACTCGTGCGTACTCATCTGACCGATAACCTCGGGCGGTACTGTCCCCTCCGCAACTCCTCCTCCTGTACCCGATCCTGTCCCAGATCCTCTTCCAGCATACCTCGAAATCTCCATACAGAAAACATACTAGAAAACCTCAAACTCTTCCCACTATCCCGGGAACCAACTCCCTACCCAACCCTAGAGGTCATGGTTTCCCTGATACGCGTATGGGTCCTGTGCTTTCAGTAGTACGGGCCCATACTACCTTCCACACCTACCCATATTTGTATGAAGTACTACCACAACACCCTAGAGAAACATGCATAACAACGCTCAACCCTCACCACTAGAGGAACACTGAGAATCTCCCATAAGGAACCCTAGGCTACAGGCATCACAATCAGGCAACATTAACATGAATTCCTGAAGATCCCTAGCCTAACTCTAGCATGCTGTTCTATCAAAGCTCAATAAAACAAATGTCATGAATGGTAATTTGGGGTTACTTACTGGCTCCGGCTGATCGTACCTCTGCGTCCTCCTTTACTTAATAAAAAAAAAAAAACCATTTTATTTCCTCTTTTTAAAACCCTCCTCAATTTGAGACTGGAGTCACACGAGTCTTCCTCCAATTCGCTCAAACCAAGGCTCTGATACCAACTTGTAACGACCAAAATTTCGAAACAATTAAAACTTTTCAAAACAACCCATTTTAATAACGTTGTTACAAAAAGGTTTTCAATACATTATTTAACAGAGTATTTTTGTAACACCCCAAAGTTTGGAAAACCAAGAAAAGAAAGAAAACCTCAAGTTTAGGGGAGACTCGGCGAGTCCTTGGAGGGACTCGGCGAGTCCGAGCGGGATCCGGGTTGTGGTGAAAGCGACCGACTCGGCGAGTCGGCCAGGGAGACTCGGCGAGTTGGGTCTGAACGAGGAAAACCCTAAACCCGGGAACTTGGAGCCTATTTAAGTGTCTCATTCTCCTTCCTAGGGTTCATTTATTGCCTCTCTACCCCAGAACATCAAACCCTAGCCGCCATTTCCGTTTTTGGAGCTAGATCTTGCCTTGTAGAATGCATTACGCTTGGAGGAGGAAGAACGACCTTGGAGGTGCAAGAAGGGATTGTAGATCTGGATTGTGGAGTCATTTCAGACCAAGTGGAGGTAATAAGTTGTTGCTTGGACTCTCTTTTTCATCTAGATCTACTCTTATGTGTGGGTTTTGGCCATTGTTGGTATGATATGTAACCAATTCGAGTTGGAGGTTCAGATCTGAGGTTGCTACCTCAGATCCATGTTGGTTTTGGTCTAGAATCCCCTAAAGTATCAGCCTTTGATATGTTGAAGAAGCATGTTTGCCATAAACCCGAATTTAGTGTGTTTTGAGCTTAGATCTCTCAATCTACACGTAAAGTTTGCCACTTTATGTGGGGAATAGGCCCTAGAAGTATGGATCTAGGAGTTGGAAGTTCAGTTTGGCTCGAAAAGCCACTGCATGGATTGAGGAATGGATAGACTCGGCGAGTCCTTCGAGTGGACTCGGCGAGTAGCTTGAAGGTGAGGAGGAACTCGACGAGTAGGATGAACAACTCGTCGAGTCGGATGAAGATAGGCATGGCCTCGACGAGTTGGATGAACAACTCGACGAGTTGGTTGAAGATTGTCTAGGACTCGGCGAGTCTGTTCTTGGACTCGGCGAGTCAGATCGCGAAACCCTAAACCCTTCGAGTCGAGACCCGAATCAGTGAGTCGGGTGGTGACTCAGCGAGTTGGATAGGACAAGACTTGGACCCAGTTGGACTCGGCGAGTCATGGACTGACTCGGCGAGTCGGGTCGCGAATAAGAAAGACCCTAAGCTTATGAACTCGGCGAGTCTTTAGGAAGACTCGGCGAGTAGGGTTGACCTGGAAGGTTGACTTTGACCAGAGTTGACTTAGTTGACTGTCAGACTAAGTGTTATATGTATATTGATAGCTCGGAGAGCTGGAGGAGCAGCGGATCAGGGGATTGTCGAGTAGCAGCCAGAGGTTTATCAGTAGGGCTCAGCAGTTCAGGTGAGTTTCCTTCCAGTAGGGAAGGGTCTAAGGCCACAATGCCGGCCCGTTCAGTTAGCAGTAGTTTCCGGACTTTGGTCCGATGCAGTAGCTAGTATGTTTGATGCCTTCGTGGCTCAGACAGGATTTGTATGCTATGTTTTATGTGTTCCGGGCTACGGCCCGATGTAGTATGCAGTATATGTGTTCATGCTAGATGATGTGTTATGCTATGCCATGTTCAGTCAGTCAGTTCCGGACTTCGGTCCGATGCAGGGGACAAGGTCCCAGTCGGTTCCGGACTTCGATCCGATGCAGATAGTTCCAGACTTCGGTCCGATGCAGTTAGTTCCGGACTTTGGTCCGATGCAGTTAGTTCCGAACTTCGGTCCGATGCAGTTAGTTCCGGACTTCGGTCCGATGCAGTTTCCAGGTTTCGGCCCGATGCAGTGGGCCAGGCCCAATATGTGTTTATATGATACTGTATGGTATGTGGTAGTTTGGGGGAGCTCACTAAGCTTCGTGCTTATAGTTTCAGTTTTGGTTTCAGGTACTTCTGCAAGCAAAGGGAAGAGCTCAGGGTGATAGCATCGCACACACCACAGCTTAGCTTTTATCCTGGGGATGGTTTTAGTTGTCTTGATTTGATATTGTATGATACAGTTTTTCCGCACAGTATTTTATTATGATTTGGGATACATCGCGTATGTTTTTATGTTATGATACTCAGATTATGGTTTTGATTACATTAAAAAAACAAAATTTTTGGGTCGTATTTTTTGGGTCGTTTCATCGTGATTTTTGGGTCGTTACAAGTTGAAAGTGGGTTATATCTGATCCCACATCGGCTGGGAAGGAGAACTCAGCATTCCTTATAAGGGTGTGGATACCTTCCCTAACACAACCCGTTTTAAAGCCGTAAGGGCAGCAGATCCCATAAGAACTCTGCACTTAAGCGTGCTCGGGCGGGAGTAATACCCGGATGGGTGACCCCCTGGTAAGTCCTCGTGCCGAGTGGCCCAAAGCGGACAATATTGTGATACGTGCCAGAGGGGGGTGTTACAAATGGTATCAGAGCTAGGGCACAGGTCGATGTGTTCGATGGGGACGTCGAACCCTATAATGGGGGGTGAAAGTGGGTTATATCTGATCCCACATCGGTTGGGAAGGAGAACTCAGCATTCCTTATAAGGGGTGTGGATACCTTCCCTAACACAATGTGTTTTAAAGCCGTGAGGGCAGCAGATCCCATAATAACTCTGCAGTTAAGCGTGCTCGGGCGGGAGTAGTACCGGGATGGGTGACCCCCTGGGAAGTCCTCGTGCCGAGTGGCCCAAAGCGGACAATATTGTGATACGTGCCAGAGGGGGGTGTTAAAATTTTCCCAGGTCCATTTCATAAAACACCAACGCGAGGAACGGTACGATCACGCCCTTGCCTTGCCACAGACGACTCCTGAGAACCTGAAAACATAAAAACCACAACTGTAAGCCCGAAAGCTTAGTGAGATACCCCCAAAATACCAACCACATATACGCCCTTCCATGCCACAACCTTCTGGTCCAAAACATATCGCCTTCCGGCCCATAGCGTAATGCCTTCCGGCCTATAACACATTGCCTTCCGGGCCATAACATATCGCCTTCCGGCCCGCAACATAAAAGCATACATATCATGACAGAACATAGAACAACCATGCATACCGGGTTACACTCCATACTAGACAACCATGCACTTAACATGTAATCATATAACAGTTCACAGTTAGCAAATCAATCAACAGATCACATAACAAATCATTACCCTAACCAAGATACCCTTGGTCAAGGACTGGGTCAAAGTCAACCCCTGACTGACCCTACTCGCCGAGTCAACCCTATGACTCGTCGAGTTCCCAACTCAAAACTTC